GAACCATTTCAAGAAAATCTCTGCAGTGATCCACCCAGAATCTGAACATTCAGCCCACGAGTTCGGTGGAGCTCCATTGAGCAGTTCGGGCTTCATACGTTTTCTGGGATATATAAACATAGGAGGAAGGTATGTCCCAGCAGCGTTGAAACAAATTTCAATCGTTATGGTTGTGCCTCGCTCGGCCGATGTCAAAGCTCCCACTTGCTTTTTACCTGTTGCTGCGATCACTCTGGAGCGTGATTTTGGCACCACTGAAACACCTGTCTCGTCACAGTTATAAATTCTGTCTGGAGTAAAAGGGTTATCATCAAGGGTTTTTCCTAGTAGTTCGAAAAATTTTCCAACAGACACTCTATTAAACCCAGCAGCTCGAGCCGCTGACGTATTTTCTGGCTTTCGTAAACTCAAGTCAGGATGACGCTTTAGAAAACCTCGCAGCCAATCCTTACCAGCTTTTTCCTTGAGATTATTAAATTTATGTTGTTTATTATTACGAACTGCTAGCTCATAGGCTAACTTCTGGAATTCGGTAGTTGACAAACCAAATAATCTTCCTTCCATTTCCTTTAAATAAGTTACAAGTATTTGTTCTTCTTCTTTGGAAAACACTGTTGTAATTGGACCCAAGGGAATCTTTACATTGATTACACCGATCTCGCTTTTTCTCGCTAGGTTAACTTTACGCTCAAGTGTTGTCTGAGGGACATTATAAGCCTTGCTGGCCGATTTGTAACCCTTTTTTCCATCTAAAACTTCTTGAATGGCCAATTTCATTTGTTCTTCACTCCACCCTCCTCTATCAGTTTTTCTTTTATAATTTCGAGGCATGATCTATAAAAAAAAATTAAATTAACCCAACTAATAACGATACTTTTGAATTAAATCGAAATCCAAAAATAATAACAAATTAGTGGGTAAGATGGGGTACCCCGTCTTGCCCACAAGTAGGTACCCCATCTTTCCCAAACTGGAGTTATAAGTTGTATTAAAATTTTCAAGGTTATAAATCAAGGCAAGCCCGAACTAATTAATGAGTTTAGAGTTGTAAAATAAACAAACACCAATAAAAAAATATGTCACGCATATTGTATATTATATATTATGAACAGTCACGCACTTTATATACATCAATAGTTAGATAAAACCACTTAAAATTATAAAAACATACTCACCAAGTAGAAACGTGCACTTCTCCGACCAAACTTTTAGTGACACTAATAAGTACTGCTAGACACCGTCAGATGGCGTTAAAACGAATGTTCTAGTAACACTGCATTATCTATTTTGATAGGGTCCCCATCTTACCTCGTAAAAACTGAAATTACTAATTTAATTTCGACAGTTTTAATGGAATTATTTCAAGAATATATTCTTTCAAAAAAAAACGTGTCACTAGAATACAAAAATCTAATTGAAAACCTGTTCTTTTTTTAAAGTTAATTAAAAATAAAGTAATGTAACATAATACTAATACTACGCAAACGAAATTGTGGGCAATTTTTTTTAAAATTACGAGTATATTTATGCTAGTAAATATAAAAGGAGATGTCCTGACTTACTAACTGACAGACAACGCACAGCCTAAACCGCTGGTTGTAGAAACTTGAAATTCGGAGAGAATATTTTCCTTAATACGTACAGGTGTACTAAGAACAGATTTTTGGAAATTCCATCCCGAAGGGGGTCAAAAAGGGTGAAAAAGTTTGTATGAAACTTTTTTCTTTATTTGTATTTAGGTAGTTTATAACCCTAGGAAGGTAATAGGTTATACTTTATCTCGAAAATTAGCACTTAAAGGGATAAAAATGGGAGTGAAAGACTTTATGGGGGAACCAAAATGTTACCATAGTAACCATTGTTTACAATCTGATTTGTCATTGTAATAAATTTACCTAATATTATTTACAAAACGTTTTAATGTGTAGCGATGAAAATTGGTAATTGAGTATTTATTACATTTTTGAAATTTCAATGGATTAAAATGTTTAAATTCAAGTAATTTTGTTTACGAAAGAAAAGAAATATTTTTATATTATATATATGTCGACGAGATGGCGCTTCGATTGTGCGAAACGCCATCTGTCACCTGCATTTGTCATCTGTCAAGATCTATGGTGCTATTCGAATAGTCAAGTTATGACATTGACGGCTGTCATCGCTTGGGAGTAGTCTATGCTTGTTCGAAGATGGCACTTTTACGTTGTGCGGCCATATTGAGCGGACGCAAGCGCAGAACTCTCCGCGTTTCGTATCGAATTCCGTTTTCATCACGTTATTATTAATGTATTTCGATTAGACAACTAATCAATTCAATTAAATGACTGATTTGTGATCTATCTGCGATCTTATTTCGAAAGAATATCTCGAACACTAGTCAGATGGCGGATGTTGCCTAACCTAACTCTCTGCCGGTCCGCCTGACTTTCCGCCATATATATGAATTACACTAGATGGCGTTAAATGAATTCTAAATCGCAGATTTTTTTGCCTAGAAAATTTACCAAGAATTACTTTTCAGCCAGGTGATGGCGAGTATAATCTAAATCGCGCTATTATTTTGATCAAAGAACATTGCGCAGGCTTTAATTCAAAAACATTAAAATGTTCCAAGTTTAAATTAAAGAAATTGCAATTATTTCTGTTTTTCATTTACATTTTGAGGATAAGTATTACTAGGTCTTAACCTAAGATTTTCAAGTTGATAATTTTCACAAAGCCTATTTTATTACATTTGTTCATTCATATTATGTAAGCACCTTAGTATAAGTTTCTAAGTATATATGTCGCAGATCATAGAATTGACCAATTCATGATGCGGCCAGCCATTTCATAAAATGTTTGTATTTTATGAAATGGAAAATCTTGCTGCCTACATCATGACGTGGTCTGGCCAGATCAACGATTTGCGTTTAACGATATGGGCGGCTGATAGTATGACTTCTTCAAGATGTGGTCAAGAGTAAGTGATCATATATAAATATCGAATAAACAAGCAATATTAAGGAAATTTCATCATCAACTTGAAAAACAACAGCGTTTTTGAAAAATATATGCTGCCCAAAGTAACTATACCATGCGCACGAAGTCGCGTAGCTCTATAAATCAATGACAAATATGTGAATATATTTTAATTACGGAATAAATGATTATATTACTGATGTTATTGTTAACATGCTGTGGGTTGAAATACTAATAAATAAGAGATTTGGATCAAAAATCCAAAAAGCAACTAGTTAAAAATAATTTATTAGTTCAAATCAAATTAATAAAATATTTATTATATCCTCATAGACCAAAATACTTACGTTGAATACAAAATAAAAAAAGATTCAAGAGCTACCTGAAAAATACGTAAATATTATTTCAAAAAATAATTCCAAACTAGAGCAAGTTTAGGGTTGGTTCCACCACTTCACTGCAATAATTACAAACGTGTTAATATACCGGTTAAATAAATAATAAGTTGTATAATTTGGAAATGGTTGGATGTTCTCATAACTTTAACTGTTATTAACAACCGCTTAAGTTTCGCTGGTAAAAATTATTAATAGAATTAAGAAAGAGGATGGTGTGACGCATTTTGAGTTTATGTAAAATCAGTGTGACAGTTATCAGCAAATTTGACTTAAACCTTAACCGTTATGATGGTGTAATCCAGCCATAAATTCCAATTTTTTGTAGTTAAATTTACATGAATTCACAGCAATGAACAGCAATATCGAATTTATATACAGTCGGAACAAAGTTCAAAGTAAATAGCCGAATAGATTGTAGGATTGCATACATAATGGAATGGAGGAGTTGCTTCTGGCCTCTGTTTAAAGGTCAAATCAAACTGCTGTTAACCTCCGATTGAGAATACGAGATATATTAAGTTATGTCTCTCATTTGTCAACTTAGGTGATTAACTTTATAAGGCGGCAATTAGGGAATTTTAAATATTAAGTTTTAGATCAAAGAGCTCTCTTGTAATTACTGTCACTGTTTTTTGTGTCAAATTAAGTTACGTAATTTAACACCAAAAATTTTTGTCTTAACATAAGTTCTTTTGAATTAAATAAAATAAGATTTTAAATTGTTAAAAAATCAGCAGGCAGCAATTAATAAAAAATTTTAGAACGGTTTTTTAGAAATTCCACCCCAAAAAGGGTCAAAGAGGCATTATGTATGAAAGTTCTTTATTATTGTACTAGCTATATACATTAGTGTTTGTCGAAGGCAATAATATAATATAAATATAATATAATATAATATAATATAACATAACATAACATAACATAACATAACATAACATAACATAACATAACATAACATAACATAACATAACATAACATAACATAACATAACATAACATAACATAACATAACATAACATAACATAACATAACATAACATAACATAACATAACATAACATAACATAACATAACATAACATAACATAACATAACATAACATAACATAACATAACATAACATAACATAACATAACATAACATAACATAACATAACATAACATAACATAACATAACATAACATAACATAACATAACATAATATAATATAATATTCCTTCGCTATTTTTCCTTTATTTCTAATATATTTCAACATTCTCTATATACCAGCGGCGAATTGTAAATTCAACTCACTTTCTAAACGTGAACCCTTTTGAAAAACGATGCTATTTTGTCAAAGCAACTGAATTGGAATGACGCGAAAGCGTGTACCAGCGTTTAAAGAGATGGATGTGTCTACAACATAGGAATGTATTCGAATACAGTCACACTTTTATTTTGCTCATGTAAATAAAAAAATGAAATTTTATTCTTTCACTAATCCGTGTATTGCATCTATCATGGGTTGTATAATATTGTTTGTTATTATAAATTTTCTTTTCATATTACAATAATTGAAAAGTAATTAAATTAAAAATTCTGCGGTTTTTATATCAAACACAGTTTATATGGATGCCGATTATAACAATATTTGTTCTGTTGTTTCAGCTTCGACACCCGTGTGCCAGGTCCCACTGCTCATTGGACGAACGATGCATTCAGTGATCGAGCCCAATGGCTCAGTTTACCGACATCGTCGTTACGTCTACGGGATGTACAGTCACGAGATAGGGCAACCTACAGGTGTCGAGTCGACTTCCAAGTCTCCCCTACTAAGAATTACAAAATATCACTCGATGTCATTGGTAAGATATACAGACATCTCAGATATAAATATTGAATTATGTGTTAATATAGGAGTTAATTAGGAAAGCTGCTTATTTACTTTTGGTATTTGCATCTTTGTAGCAATACTCACCGAATACTTTATACGTTTTACACTGATTTTAGAAGTATTTGAAAGCTGTCGTATAATTGATAAACAAAAGGAAATACAAAATGTATAAACCCATATTAATTACAAATGTTCGAGATTTAAAACTTACAAATGTGTGTTCATGAATCAATAACTTTAAATTTTTAAACAATCTAACTCGAATGGTCATGAATTAATATATTTTTAATCTGGTGATTACTGGTTTTGTAATTCAAGGATTGAAAATTGCTTATTTAATGACATTTTTAACTAAAATATTAATCTATTCTTATTTCCGTTAGAATAGTAATTACATTATGAAATTTAAAAATATTTATTCGAACAATCTGACAACGACAACCTAGTTTTTATTATTAATTAATTGTTCCAATCTTTTTTGAAAATAATAAATTTAATATCAAATCGGGCATTGCTAGTTTGCTAGCTTGTTAATTAAATAACATTAATATGTTTTGTAGGAAAACTTTATGCTTACTTTATTAACAATATTTAAACATAATAAATTAATTCCTATTGCACACTATTTTCGATTTCTTGTCGTATAGTTCATTGCTTCTTAAATCCACATGACTACCAAGTCGCTTTGAAACTAAGCTACAAAAGAAATATAATAGGATAGAATCCGATATCTACATCCTATTAAAGGACACTCACGTCTACTTACGTAATCTCTCTTTGAATGTTTTTCTTTAAAAAGAAACAGTTTATTGCAATATTTTTTGCATATTAATACAAAATAGTTGTTTATTGCATTATTCATCCACTAATAGGCTAGAGATGATGAGTTGTTGTTAATAAATATGTATATTGGCATTACATTATGAATAACCAAAGAGACGCTCGGTGATGGCGTGGTCAGTGCTTTAGGTTTGCGATGCAGATGTTTTGCAACTTTCGCATAGGTCAGTCATAGAATGGGTGACCAAAAATTTGACGAGCTTCTCCGAGCAGTAGTAAATATCCACCTAAACGCACTTTTATGTTATACGATTCCATATGAGTAGGGAATGCCTTTGCCCATCATTGGGCACGTTAAAGTGATTGAACGTTCCGTCTGTCTTTGGTGTTATTATTTAATTTTGATTTTCGGTATATAATATGTGTGTCTTTTAAATAATTTATGTCCAGACATAATTTTTTTTCAAATACTGTCGTAAATTCCAAATGAATAAAAAAATGGTTAATTCGTAATGTTTAATAATAAATAAAGTATATATCACGTGATATTTTCAATATGCGAACACTAGTAACAATATTTTATCTATAATATCGTTTTGACGTTATACATGGAGCCGCAATCACGAGTAGGTACCGAATATGAAACCACTCTACAATTACATAAATAACAAAGCTTCCAGAGTATGTACTAAATTCTAAGTAAAACTAGCAGTGAACATGTTAATAAGCACCCGTCACAAGCGCAATTCAAAGTACAAGAGATTTACGGGAATATTATAATTTCAATTCGTAAATCTTAGTCAGTCATCCAGACACCTACTAGATATTTACGCCGAGTTCCAACATATGAATTATTCAAGTTTATAAGTAATAATGATACTTAAAGGCTTTGTAGAATTCATTAATATGTATTCGCTCTTTATCTGATTTATCAATTAGTTTAGCCGATTTTGTGAAACTTTTTGATTCAAAATTTATATCTCAGAAGTTATGATAACATTTCGAATAAATCTCGAAGAGATTGTCTAACGGAATTGAATTTTGATATCTGTTATTCAAATATAATTCAATACGAATCTGAAATAAAAAGAAGTTTTTGAAAAATAATAAAAAATATCTGAAGGTGAAATTTATCTTATAAGGAATTAAGATAAAATTATGCAATCAAATGTAAAATGACAATAATGATGAAGAGTTTTGAAATGTATGGGAAGATATAAGACTAATAGATTCTTACTCATGATAGAAAGAAAGGGGATTGTTGTATCCGAATAAAATTATTAAAAAAAAAAAAAAATGTCAAACAATATCACATACATTGCTCCGATTCGAACATGAGTACCTAAAGCCAATAAATAAATGACAAACAATATAACATACATTGTTCCGATTCGGACATGAGTACCTAAAGCCCCCGTATTATAGAGTATCTGAGACAACGAAGGTATTACAACACCCAGACCCGAGACAATATAGAAAAGATCATTTTCTACTTTGACCCGACCGGGAATCGAACCCAGGACCTCAGAGATGGCGACACTTTGAAACCGGCGTGCGAACCAATCGATTATTATGAAACTATTATTTCAGTGACAGTAACATTTATTTCATTGACTAGTAAATCATGTCGAACTCAATAATTTCCTTTATAAAATATATTCTGATTTCACATAGCAATTAAAACAATGCAAATTGAAATAACCTGGTTCTATGCTGTATTGTTTAAAATTATGGATAATTATTGTTCTCTCAGTGGCCCAGAAATATATGCTACGAATGGTGATAATGCTATTGGCGGAACAATTATCACCAGCTAATAGTGTTCCAATAATAAGTGACCTATGAAAGGACAATTGTTATGAAAACTGCTATATCGAATTGTATTTGCAAAAACTAAACCCGAAATTTTAATTATCATATTTTTTTTACCTAAATGTACTTTGATACTTTATTCTTGAAAATTCTGATAGTATGAAAATTTTAAATTAGATGAACTCAAAATTTTCGAAAAAAATAACGGTATTCAAGATTTGTATCTATCTAAATATAGGTGTATTATGAAAACTTTTTAAGCAGATATAGGAATAAAATAAGCTTGAAGTTTTAATTTGCATCTAATCTTGTGAGATATCAGCCTCTGCTTTTTTGTGTTTTAATAAAATAACTCAGACCGAAACAGGAGAGGTAACAAAAGCTATGAAAAGTCGTCGTCGTACCGCTGGGCAATCTCGATAAGAAGTAGTACGATCGTAAACTTGACCCTCCTTTATCCTCACGGAATCAACACGAAAAGTTTAAGGGTAAGCCCGAACTCAGATGATTTACGTTCGTACGCTGACAGTAAAAATGTGGGTTAGTTCGAGAATTAAAATTTTATTACAAATTCGAGGACATCTTGGTAACATCGAGATAGGCTAATGCTATATTATTTTCATGAGCTTTGTTCATTTCGAGGATCTTAAATGGTACTATAAGGTCCTACAAACTTGAAGTTTATCAATGTTGTAATTTGATAAAATTATTATACTAGGTAATAAATGTATTGCTGGAAATTTAAGTGTTCATCTAGGAAAAAAGTATCTTTAATAGTTTTTTTTTTTTATAAAATAACTTTAAATGATTCAATGATAAATATTTGAATAGAAAAATAACTCATCTTTTTACTTCTCATAGATAAAACTATTTGTATTCTGAAGTACGTGTATAAAGAGCTATCGAATTGAACACAAGGTGATAAAATAAAATCCATATCGGCTAGATCGGAATAAACTGAAAGAGAATAAAGTTATCCAAGTGAATAGAACCGTGAATAGCTTAATAGAACTGGCATAAAAGCGAGATAAGCTCACCTGAAGTCCACGGCGTAAAGATAAAATCTGCGCTAGCACTAGCAAGGTCACCAACGCGGGGCGATCGCAATGATAGCTCCCCCTACCTCAACAAAACTTCCGACACCAATTATCTAAGACACGGACGTGAAAACAATGCATAAGAAGTAAATATTTATATTCGCCATTTTTATAGATGGATGGATATTATTATTATTATTTTTTGAATCGAAATCGTTACATTAAATTTAAGGCATTATCTTGTAGTATTTGTATTGAATATTAGGAGAACCATTGTTTAATTACGCTGAGAAGATTACACTACTTTGTACAGTTAATAGGATTTGGCAGCTCTCATCTTGACGAAATCTAATAATCATTTTGGATCTATTTGCACAGCACCTTTGGTAACAACGCAAATATTATTACTACCTAATTGGTCTTCTCCTCATAACTGATATGTGAATCCCTACGAAAGTAACGTGAAATCGAGATAAAGGTATTTCGAGGGAATAATGTTTGAATATATATTTTTATGTTCCCGTAACATTTTATTGATACTTAATAATCTTAAAACTTCGGTGATGAGCGAAATGATATTACATTTCTTAATGTCTCAAAATTAAGATTGTGTTACTATCGAGACATGCGCTTAGCGTTTGTCAAAATTGATTTATTGGTTTATCTGAGTTTATGGGATTTATATCGAGGTTTTCTAGGTTTTTGTAGTTTCTGTGGTGAAATTCTCATTACAGTTGGGTCCGCTCTTACGCGGAACGTACGAAACAATGAACGGGCGCCAGCTGTTCACTCTAGTAAGCGATAGTATTGCGGAGGAATGGATATGAAAGCTCCGCATGATTGCCGAGATCCTCCTCTGAATACTCATATCGTGAAACCTTTTGTTTCCAGTCAACGAGAACATTTTCATTTCCTCAATCATGATTGTGCCCCTAGTTTGTTTATCTGCAATTTGAAGAATCTACATTTTGTTCGATGTTCGATCCCCATTTTGATTCCACTTTGATTGTGAATACATTTCCATCGGATAACAAAAATAAGCCCCTTTATTTACATAAATGCGGAGAAATAAGCGAGCTTATTTAAACAAGCAATTTTAATTATGTTTAACATTTTGAAGTGTGTTTATTCATTTGTATAACTGGTGCAGAATCGTTCAGCCAATTGTTTTTGTAATGTATTTTTTTTATTTATATACCTAATAGAGGAAGTTGCAACATAATTTAAAAAATACTGTGATATGTAAACACTGTATATGTTCAAATATCATTCGTTTTTTCTCTCACAGAGCTCCCAAGTAAGCCGGTGATCTTTAACGAATACGGAAAGGAGATATCCGGGATTGCAGGTCCTTACAACGAAGGAGGAGGTTTCAAACTTATTTGTTCCGTGAACGGGGGTAAGTATATGTTTTTTGTTGTACGAAATTCTCTCGCGAAACTCGCCACTTTAACTTGAGATATATAATTTGATCGGTCCACAGCAAAAGACATAGAATAAATTATGAGTTTTACATTACGTTTGTACCAGATGCGCAGTCCGTCAATCATGTTGATGCAACTGTATCATTTACTTTGTTTCGTTTTCGTATAGCCTGTTTTCCTTTTGTACGATTTTATTTACCTTGAAGGTTAAGAACAATTTTTCTTAATTATTCTGATTCTTGTATATTTAGGAGTTCTGTTATAAGAAAATGGTTTATTTCTGTAGGTTTTAAAACAAATTTATGATATGATAGACAAAATAAATAGAATATCCAGGTTGTAGAATTATAGTTTATACTTTTAAACGCCATAAAAAGCTCATATACTTATCCATTTTTATAGTAATGTAGTATTTCACAAAAACTTTATCACCCAAAAATATTTATTTATATTAGCTTCAACATTGAAACGAGTATAATTAAACATTTATTTTCTGCAGGCAATCCAACGCCAAGAGTCCAATGGCTTCAAGGGGATACTATTTTGGCAACATTAGGAACTGGTGACTTAATGCCACCGGGCACGCCTAGAACATTAACTTTAACCGTAAAAAACGCAACAAGAGAACACCAATCGTCAGTGTACACTTGTGCCGCAGACAACACGTTGTTGACGTCACCACTGAAAACGACAGTCCGAGTAGATTTGTATTGTAAGTAAGCCAAGAATAAACCCACGAATAAATTTTCAAATATAATGCAAACTTTTGTTAAGATGACCCATTAAAACTAAAGTTTAGTGCGCAGAGAGGAGTGAAGTTTAAATTAGGCTACCCAACCATATATTGTTACTTTAACAATCTCCGTGGCTTGCTAGGACACTGTTTTCGAAATTTTGCCTTTTCTGAGGTTCCGGGTTTGATATGCGCTCTGGTCAATATCGAAAATTAGCTTTTCTGTATTTTCTTGGGCCTGGATATTTTGGTTTCTTCGTTGTATCAAATTTCCATAACCCAAGTGTTTTAGCTAGTTAAAGTAGGGCCTGAGCATTGTAAATGACCATTATCATGTTATGAAATAGAATGGTGTGGTCTATCCGATCGTCTACAGCCAGTCTACTACAGATCGAAATTTCCAGACATAATAACACTCCATTCATTGCAAAATCAATATTTTAAACGTTGAAGCGAATAAACATTATTGCATAATAATGTCACGCTTCAAAGAATATAGTCAAAATAATTCATATTGACAAGGAATTTTCATTGGCAGTTCAATATTATGACAAAGCTTTTCCTGATGCTATTTTCAAATAATTTTTAGTATTGTTTTCGATTGCATTGTTCTAGATCCCTTACAATAAATGCCAATCGGCCGTTCAATAAACAGTCTTAGATTGACAGTTTATTCGGAGGGGGGCGATAAAAAATACAACTGTAGTCTTCTATACTTGTATTTCAACAATGATTCTTGTGTCGTTGTCATAAAGTTTCCCAAATATTTTATCGAGTCCGCATAGGTACTTGTGCAATTCAACAACAATATTTTCTTTTCGGAGTACAAACAAAGCGTGACAAGCGAGTGGGTGTGAGAGACAACAAATACCTTTTTGCCGGAGTATCTTCCTTTCTATTCCTTATTGGTTTAGATACTTGGCGTGAACGTCGAAATGTGTTTTACTTTATTTCTTATAGCATTTGTATTGAAAGCAAAGCCTCCTGAGTTTAGATTGGCTCTAACTAGATAGCAAGTGACAGCTGTGAGATTGTCTATTTTATGGTTTTTGTTAGTTTCAAGCCTATTGCTTGTGATACATTTAAATTTTCGGGATATTGTGAAAAGACAAGTCTATGAAAAGAGACTTGTCTTTTCATAATATCCCGAAGATTTAAACATTTTTGTTATTTTTATTTTTCTGTCATAAATTCAATTATAATTACATCGAAAGAGATATATATCTATTTTGAAATTACATGACTTATGAAACCGATTATATTTGAATGATGTTATTACTAATTTTGGCATAACATATTTTTCAACAGTAAGACCACTGACCGTAGAGATATTATCAAGAGAGCAGCCACTATCAGTTGGCAGGAGAACTGAATTATGGTGCCGATCGACCGGTGCGAGACCTCCAGCTACTATCTCTTGGTGGCTAGGAGGGAAGCAGTTGAAATCTATCACCAAGCAAAGAGTAAGTGTATATTTTTATTTCATAAACCACCTTACAACTACATATAACGGTGACAAATATGATCTACACGTAAAATTTAATGTTGTAATAGTGTGTTGTGTCCTTTTCTGGGTTTTAACAATAATGTTCTCACCTGATGAATTTTCACGAATTATCGATTGCGTTACTCAAAATTTCAAATTACGAAAAATTATTAATTATAAGAAATGATGTCAAAGATCAAAGAGAAAAAGTTAGGATGCGGATATCCAGGACAAAATAAACCGTGTGGTACGACGCATACCGTAAATTGAAATTTAGAGTAACGCAACATATTTTATTACATAGCACTTTAAATTATACCGCCTGGTATTTTCTGTGATCATATTTGCGTAAACCAAATATAAACCTAATACAAAAAACCTGAAATTATTTAATTTCTCTTCGGTGAGATCTACATAGCTGACACCGGTATAATTTAAAGTGCTATGTAATAAAGATTGTGCCAGCGCAGTTCCAATGGTCATTTGAAGAAAATTACGAAGCCTTTTCAAACATCCTGCCGCAGCAAACACCTTCCGACTCACTTCTTCAACTTGCCCAATTCAAATTTCTATTAATCGACACATCCAATTTTTTTATACTATCGCAAGGGATTAGTTGTGCACCATCAAATGTGTTACACATAAGATAAATCCAGAAAAGTGTATTTATTAAGACCATAAATGTACCAACTTATCAATCCTAGTCAGCCGTTTCATTTTTCAACCAAAAACTAGCACCAAAACCGTCACATTGTGTCTCTCTTAAAAAACTTCATGAATACAAGCCAAACTCATTATCATCTTTAGTTTATTATAGTTGGACAACATTTTGCAGCACTATATCACTTTTATCATCGATCTATACTCTTTTGTCTCCTAGAACTGCCATTTCCTAGAACAAGAATGATAGCGTGTTGCCTATATCCTCGAAAACTCCATGGCGTGCTATCGCATGCCCTCTTCCTTACAAAGAAAAAGTTAATGCCGTGTCAAATGCAGTCTCACCCTTAATGTTCATCCTCTGGTACTCGTAGTGGTGTTGTCATCGGTAACTACAGGCCTTTCCTATGGATAGTAAAATACAAGGCGAAATGGCCATAACCCACCAGGCAGGTCTAATATAGGTTCGTTTGTAAGTGGATCAGCGAAGATGATGAAATGATGCCCACTTGAATATAACACGAAATATTAATTTCCCTATTCTTTTGTTTCTTAAAGTTTTATCGCTGCTATAAAACGCTGGAGGAAAGCTAGTAAGTAATAAAACTAAAAAAAATTTATACTTTTATACAAGGAATTAGAAGATGGTAACGAGACACAATCATTGCTTCAATGGACACCGTTAAAGGAACACAATGGCTTAACACTCACGTGCAGAGCTGAGCACTTGAAGTTCAACAGATCTACAATTGAAAGCAAGCTCCTGCTTAATGTTTACTGTAAGAGTCTTTTATACATACTATTTTTTTATTTTATTTATAAACTGACATGCTTAATTTTATTTTAACATTTGTATATGCTAGTGCCAAACTATTTTATAAAACATAAGAAATGCTAAAATATGTTTCGAATACAATAAGACGTTAATCGTTATAATAACGTTTTAAAGATTCATTCTTAGAACATTTATTATTGTATAAAAAATGGTAATTCATTAAAATGAATACTTGCTATTAACCTGGGTAGATGCTTTGTTGTGTATACCACTTGATTAAACATTATACATGATATATAATTTTATATAATGTTTAGTTGATTGAAAACTTTATTTATATTCTTAATGAAAAATGCTTAAAAAAAATCATTTAGTCCCTGGCACTCCGATATTAAGAATATTTTTAAGTATAGGATTGTTTATACAAGATTATTTCTATCGAAATATTTCTTTCGGCTGTTTGGGTGGTTCGCCTTTTTTCTTTTTTTTATACTAAGGGGAACAGACCTTAACATGCCGTCGACCTGGGCGAGAGGCCAACTGAACCCGGGCTCTCCTACTGCAGGGACGGCGGTCCAGTGCAGTAGGGCCACCGTGGAAAACCCCCCGTACTACCTTCTCTCTTGGTCCGGTACCTGGTATCTTAAAATAAGTCCTAGGTAGACCCGGACCGTGGGGAACGAAGTCCTCCCTCTGCGGTCAGGAGGTTTCCTGGGTAGTTCCGGGGAACCCTCCTCAGACAACTGGGATCGTGCAATGAACGCAGGGTATCAAACCCATTGTTCGCCCCGTTAGGGAGTAAAGATGCGCTACTGTGCGATCTAAACTCCCTATACCGTCTGCCGAACACTTTATGCGCCGCTTCTCGGCCTCCCCCACGAGCGATACCCCTCGGGCAGCCCCGGGCGCCCGTCTGGCACCCCTTTTGAGCGATGCATCAGAGTATTCCCGCCGCTGCCATGGTGTCGGCCGCTGGTCGACGAGGTTCTCTCCCCAACGACCCATAAAACATCGAAGTGGTGAGTGCCCCCGCCGAGCCGCAGTCGACTCCATCCCTCTGTCGCTGACTATGACAGACTTGCGTCTGCTATAGCCCGCCGAGCCCCCGATGCCGCCAACCCCGGCCATCGAATCTGTCCAAGGACATACACAGAGACCGGACCCGCCGCCGCGGTGCGAGAACGGGGTATCCCCCCTCCCCGTTGGGGAGGGGTGCATTTCGGGCTCGCTTATCCCACATCCCCGTCCCTCGCCAAGGTTCTCATAGGAAGAACCTGTTGAAGGACGGTGAGCAGTTGAACCGCTCCGGGCGGTGCCACCCGTGCTAGTGGACCCGCTATTGCGTGTCCATTTTGAGGGTTGATCGCCTGGACATTGATAAAAATACGCTACGTTGTTAGTGAAAAGGTAACAAGTGTTTGAAAAATTCGTTAATCCTATTAGGTAATGGGTAGGTAGCTCAGTGGTTAGAACAGTCACCCGGATTGCGAAAGGTCATAGGTTTGAGTCGCATCTTCTAAGCATTTTCCATTAAGAATATTTTTCAGTATAATATTGTAAATGCAAAATTGATCGAATCAAATAACCTTATTTATTTTAAAAGTTTAAAGAGTTTGGTGTCTTTCAACCTATTTATGGAACAACATATTAATGTTTTAATAAGAAGGCGTAGTATTAATTTTATAATAAAATTTAATAGACGTCTCGTAGGCAATTTTAGAATCTTTTGAGGATCTCAATTAAAACATTTCGCTTGATTCTATAAAATTTTGCCTTCAGTAACTTTGTAATAACGTTAAGAAAGGTAATTTAATATATTATTATCAATGACAATTAAAACTTAAAGATTTTATCTTTTATTTTATCTGTATGGTTCCAAGCATCAGATTTCAAAAAACCTTTCTGTGTAGATGCATTGCTATGTTCAATAAAGTTCCACAAAATGTAATTGACCTACCCTTTACTAAATTTATGAGTAAAGAACATACTTATAAATCAAGGCTATTATAAAGTTGATGATTATTTTGACCGCATGTATGGAATTAATAACCTTCGCTTTGTTTTATAACGACTAATTATATGTGCCAACCAATGTCCAACAGACCTTGAAAATTGTATTTGTTATTGTTGTAATATGTACTGTTATGGTAATGATATGATTTATGTTCAAATCAAATCAAAATTATTTATCCAGTCCAGGCTGTTACAAGCACTTGTGAAAGTCAAGAGTTAATGTCATTACTTATGATAAAGAGCTGGTAAGTTTCTTTCGCTTGTTTTTCTCGTCAGCTAAAAAACTTCCTGAACGAGTGGTAGGGGAAAAAATTTTTTTGAACGATTCTAAAGTGCTTGAAACAAGCTTACTAGATGAAGTTCTTTTGTTTAACATTTTCACCTTTCAGTAGATTCACCGACAAAATTATTGACGGAGACAAATCAGCGACATGTCAAATTGTAATTAATTAACCTTGAAATAATGTTTTAGATGTACCAGTGGCAACAATAAAATTAGGATCCAAAATGAATCCAAACGATATAGAGGAAGGTGATGACGTGTATTTTGAATGTACTGTTGATGCTAATCCGCCTGCATATAAAGTAGTTTGGGAACATAATGTGAGTGAATAATTTAATTGTCGTGTTTAATAAAAAAAACCGCTACACATTCTGCATGAAAATCTTCTTCAGAAAATCAATAAGCTTACAGCTAACCTAGAATCATTCTACTCGAAACTCATCTAAAACACTTGAAAGCTTCACATTTTTAAGAATAATAATCGTGGGTATTCTTTGTCTCAGTTCAAATAATACTTGTTTTAATATTTACAATAATATTAAGAATAACCAGATATTGGGAAAATATGAGTATGTTTAATATATTTATCTAAGATATTAAATAACGAAACTATATATATTTTTATAATTTAAAAATGTAACAATTATCTCATATTATTTTTTAATTTGGCGAGTATTAATTACTCGCAGCAATAGACATTATAACCGAACAAACGATTTACAAAAGAATCTTTAAAAGGTAACATTGAATTACGTTTATCTATTATCTTGATAGGAAAAAGCGCGAGTAATTAAATCTGAAATTAAAATAACACACAATAAGTCTCTTGAATATACAAATAAATATAAATTTCACAGGGTATCCTTCTCCAACACAATCCAGTTGGAGGGGTTATTCTCACTGGCAACACAAATCTAGCTCTCCGCAATGTATCTCGACTGCAGGCAGGAAAATACAGCTGTACTGCTTCCAATGTTGAAGGAGATGGAAAGTCAGCACCCCTACAGATGCAAGTCGTTTGTGAGTACTTTGACAGTTTTTATTCGAAAAAAAGTGGTTTCTATTTTGGAATGATGTGTATTCTTTTATGTATATTTGCTGTTTCTGTGTGAATTGTAGATCGATTTTCAAAACTTTTTTATTCGAAAGTTTGTTAAAGACAACGGGAAGCGACTGCTCTCTACTATATACTGATGTTTGGTTATTAAAATGGGAGTGTAAATAATAGTAACCAATACAATACCGAATTTTACGTACTGAATACAATAATTAATTATGAATGAGATAGCTCGTTTAAATTTGACAGTTCAAATTAATTTAGCCTTCTGGTTTTGGGGCAAATGTAAATAAAATTGATATATTTAATGAAGGGGCAACTTTAATTTACAATCATTTAACGAAATGAAGGCGCCTGCTTAGCATGAATGCGTAATGCTTGGTAACCTACATTTAACAGCATTGCATTATAAATAAAGAGTTATTATAAGGGGGCTAGGTATAAATTGACGGTCCACCTGGGACTTATTTTAAGATACCAGGTGCCGGACCAAGAGAGAGGGTAGTACGGGGGTTTTGCACGGTAGGCTCACTGCACTGGACCACCGTCCCTTGCAATGGGAGAGCCCGGGTTCAGACGGCCTCTAGCCTAGGTCAACGGCATGTTAAGGTCAGTTCCCCTCGGTTTAAAAAAAAGGAATAAATTGACGGAACAAGTAACATACTCATACTTATTGGAAATTTCATAATATTATACACATAATATAACAAGTAATAATATTTTTTTTGTTCATCAAAACCTTTTGCACTGAAAACCCCTATTGGTTTGACCATATTATATAGCCAGTAATAATTAATTACCAAATCAAAGCATTATAAAGGAAATATTTTATTTGCAACTGATCTTATACTTTAAAAAGAATTCATGTATTATTCCGGTTTTCCCGACTTCGCGTAATTATTAATGATAGTAATTACTAAGAACAATGCAGTCTCCAGGGATTTAACAATTAAAATGATTGTTTTTAAGACATTTCAATGTAGGCCTTCTCGCGTCTAAAATAAGGATCTTTTTACAGATAAACCTTTGTGTAAGAAGAGAGAAATAAAAATGATCGGGGCTGCTATTCAGGAGCCGTCGAGTGTAGTGTGCGAGGTCAACGCGTTTCCGCCACCTGATACCTTTGAATGGACGCTTAACAACTCGGCTGGATCAACTAAAGTCGATCCTGTAAGTAATAGCTTTATTTATCTATTTATCTCTGTAAACACAAAGCAATCAAACCCTTCGTTGGATGCATACAAAGTGGAGTGGGCCCGAAATCCACCCCTTAATGGTTATATTAAATTGGACCCTAAGCAGAAGTAACAGATGCTAGATAGGGTCACTGCCATTCTTCGATAATCACTTGACCTTATTTTTGTCTGAGGTTCTTTGATACTTTTATGGTATACTCCTTTGAGTTAGCGTTTTCGTACACAAAGTTCTACCTTGTGATGTAATTTTACTAGTTTTGTTTTACATTGTTTAAAGGAAACTAATCTTTGCGTTCAGTTAAACTATGTCTTCGACGTTATTTACTTAAGACCTTATTATCAGTTTCATAGAAAGCACCAACGGTTTTATTTTTAAATTTCAGTGAGTCCCATCTGTTCTCTAAGCTTTTATAGGCCATTTTCAACCCTCCGCGGTTACGAAGTGTTGAATTTCCAGGAACGATTTACAATCGAGGCCAACGAAGGGAGATCGGTGTTGACTTACACGCCTGTAGCTGATGTCGATTATGGAACGCTGTCTTGTAGAGCCACAAACTTAGCAGGGCAGCAGGTTGCTCCGTGTGTGTACACGTTACTGCCGGCTACTAGACCCGATCCGCCTTCAAATTGCACCGTCTACAATTTAACAGATGATTCAATAGATTTGATGTGTCTTTCAGGTAAGTTCCAAAGATTATTTATTTTCTGTATTGTATAAATAAGACACAGTGCTTGGCAGTTATTAAACTTAATAGTTTTGAAAATATTTTAGTAAAACAAACACCCGATATTCTCGCACTGCTCGCTTTTGATCGATCGTTTGTGGTTTCAGAAAGCCAAAATTTTATATGAGAACATAATCCTGCTTGAGTTTTGATAATCCTAACCTCTGTGCTCTCAAAAACCCAAACACAATTTTGTGCCGCTTCCAATTATACTAAACGTCAATCCCAGATTATGCTAGTACAATTAAACTGGGACTCACCTTGACAAATATTAATTCTCTGAAACTGTCTAAAACAGATCCGCTTAACCCTCCACTTATAAATTTTGTGCGTCCTTCGTAAAAATACTTTTATTAACAGAAGGAACTGGTACCTATAAATTTCTCCATCGCTTCAAATGATGGTAGAAAATTACATAACTAATTAATCACACGAAATTACTTGCAAGTTTCAACAAAATGAATCGAAGATTAAGCACCTAAGCAATCAAGTCCTACTGAATGAGATTGGCAAAAATAATTTGACTTCGAAAATTAACTTGAACTTAGACTTTATATTTTACATAATAATTATTTTTATTCAAATTGTATGAACGTTTGATTTCTTTATTTTAAAGTAATGCACGTAATTACGAAAAATTTAAGTCACTCGTAAAGATTATTTATTATATTTATCATATATATATTATGTTGCGTTGCCTGTTTGATTCCGATAAATAAATTGTCTATGTCAATATTAGTAAGAGTGTTTTTTACAAAATAAACAAAATTTAGCCCTAATTACATAAAAAAAAAAACGCTTTGTCCGATAGATTAAAAGCTTATGTGAAATACGCTTCATGACTCTAAAAAAGGAAATCTCTTGAATATGCATTGAATTGTTTTAATTTAAAAGCGATATGATTTCATAATAAAGATGAAGTATTTTTCGTTATTTACGATGCTTTTTTATTACCAATTTACTTTAAAAAAAAAATTTGTCGAATGAGCTCAGATATCTTAATTTTTGTAAATATATTCTGTCGAATAACTTCTTCCATAAAACTCGTTTCCTTATAGTGAAATGTTCATTGGTAGGCCTTTTTTATATTTGCTTAGTATGGTTAAATTACAATTTATTATTGTAGGCTACGAAGGAGGTCTACACTGTGTGTACGTAGCCGAAGTGTGGGGAAGTGAAGGTTTAGTTGTTAATTCGAGCAATTCAGTGGCGTTGTGGAACCTCAGAAGATTGGGAGCTAAGAGGCAATTGAAGTTGATTGTGTACGCGGCAAACGCGAGGGGCAGATCGGAACACGTCAGTTTCATTATAGAAACTGCGCCGAGACTATCGCCCAGAACGGGTAAGTTTACCACCAATCGCTAGTCAACAGATGTTGAAATTTTTGATGTTGTGTACTGAAATTAAATATATTTCTTTGTCTGCTTTGGCAAATAAACAATTAAAATGTTTTTGGCGTGTCATAGTCGTTTGACTTATGGAAGTAACTCAACATAATGACAAGAAAATTTGATGTCATTTATTTCTTACATAATTCTTATTTATATTTCTTATATAATCAGGAAATATCAATAATACAACACATTAGATTTCATTTTTAAATAATAAAACTGATAATTCAAAATTTTTCAACATCACCATGTTTATATCGGTAGTATTAAGCATACTGTCGGTATATTGTCAAAGGGGGATTGAGTTCGGCGGACAAAAAATCAATCGGGATACGGGAGGTACAATATATATAATAAGAAACATTGTTTATGTTCGAAGAAATACTTTTTCTTTTTTATCTCCTTTTAATAACAGGTTGAACAAAGAGAGAAAAGGTGAATATGTATTCAGATTTTGTGCACTAAAGTCATGTTTTCACAATGATTTTGAAGTAATATAATAATGGTTATCAATAATTCCTCACTAACAATAACGCAATTGAAATACTACTTATATACTACGAAATCAACACTTAGAGCTTGTACTTCAATTCGATTAATAAAATTACTGACGTCACCTGAATCGTAGAGGAAATATTCCTTGCCGAAAATAAAGGGTATCGCGCTATTTACAGTTTTGGATGCTCTTATACACCAATATTGTTATGAAGTGATCCCTTAGGGATAGTCCCTATTAGAATTCTGATTAGGTAACAAAGGCAGTAACAATAAAAATATTTATGCAAAACCATACATTTTAAAATGCTAGAAGATAAAAAGGGAATTCATTTGAACAGGTTAACACAGAATTTCATTTTAGTGAAATTTAACCTTTGCTATTGGAACGTATTTTCAACGTTGAGTACCTCGGCTATTTTGAGTATGATTGAAAATGGCGCGTCATTAGAAATTGTGCGCCTACGAAAATGGTCTATTATTCAGACATTTTCTTTTTATATGGCTAAAACAATCACTCGTTTTAAATATTCAGGCAGCAGACTACTGATTTATGATAATGGCGTGGAATATTTTATGAATCGCTCTACTTTTGTCCATTAAAATAAGTGATAGTGTAATGCATTAATGTTTTTTTACTTATGTTGGTATCAATTTGCGATATAATTTCAAGACATAATAAATAATACGGTTTACTTTTGTTTGTTTGTTTCGTTCCTAAGAATAGGAATAAAATCACATAGTTATTTTTAAAAATGACACTCTAAATATAAATGAAATAACTTGTAGGTATATTTCATGGCTGGCTTCGCTCGCTCGAGTTGTTTTTTATTTCGGCCCTAGTTCCGACCTTAAGTAGTTATATCGGTTATATCATGTTTAGTAATGTTATGTGAATTAAAATTAGTCATAAGGAAAGTAAGGACAACATAAACTATATGCCAAAAATAATTATGACGAATTAATATATACGACAAAACCTTTATTTTTACATAATGTTTTATCCTCATATACAGGGTTTCCTATTACTTTATTGTTATGTACGTTATTGCGGTGTTTCCATTTCAATAAATCAAAATGTTAACCATTTGTCATAAAGAACACTATGAATTTATTTTTTACTAACCTTTTGTTTGTAATAAAAGTGTTCTTGCAATGCGTGATATCTTATTTGTATATTATTTTAGAAGCACAAGAAGCATGGGAGGTCAACTGGACAGTGGGAATAGTAATAGGCGCAGCTCTGATAGTAGCGCTTATATTATGCCTAGCTCTCATAGCTACTAGAATACATCACCGAGCTAGGGACTATGAAGGTAAGTTTGAAGATTCTTGAGAATTGAAATTAGGAGCTTACACGAAATCAGGAATGAGGTTGAATTCAACAGGATTTCTGTGCGATTCACGATGGAGCGTTATTACTTTAGTACGATATCGTGTTAGTACAGCGTTATAGTTTGAAATTTCTCATAATAGACTTTATTATCAATGTAAAGATAGAAATCAATTAAAACAGCGTGAAATTGAAACAACAATACTGTTTTGTAAAATGACAGCGTTGAACGCAGTCATAAAATTAATCAAATAAAACCTACTTCAAAGAGTAATAAACCAAACAAGACGGCGGCATGGCGTCACAGTTGTCGTTCTTTTCACTCACATTCTTCAATGTCTTGGGGTTGTAATCTGAAAACCAATTTTCGATATTATTATTAACTTCACCCTGGTCTGTCCTACTCCATGATATAAAAAATAAGTAAGTTAGAACAGAACAGACAATGCAAGAATCAGATATACCGAATTTTGATTATTAGAATACAAAGCAAGATAATTATAACGTCTATTAGTTTAAGTATCAATTTATGATTTCTCTAGTTTGAAAATTTGAATTAAAAGCTAATCACGTAAGCACAGAAGTAATATCCAATGAATTCAATTGATTTTTGTTCAAAGATACAAACTGTATTTTGATGTATTCGCGGAGAAGAAATCTAGTTTTGAAAACTAAAATTCTAGTGCTTTATATGACTACAAGATTTGGTGATGAGGATTATACTATCTTACAATACAAACCAAATTGTTCATAGAGATTTCATTCGATACGCGTCGCCGCCACAAATAGACGGCAAACCCTATCTATTTTGGAGAAAGGGATCTTTCTGAAAGTCCCCGATGACCTATTGCGATCTTTTGTGCTACTCTATACGTTAATCTTCGTCATCTTTTAATTTCTTCGCCAACACGTAGTTAATAAAGTCAAATACTTAATGAAATTAGATCTTAACATATTAATACATTGCTCAGATTCCAAGATGAGTAGCTAAAGCACCCATACTATGGAAAGATAGAAGCCGGATGTTGCTCAGCCTGTAATCGAACCCGGGACCTCAGAGATAGCGACACGTTGAAACCGGCATGCGATTGTTTATGTATTTACAAACTTAAATGGGCTAAGAAACTATTCGACCAATTTAAAAAAAAATCACCTGAAGAAAGCATCATGCGGAAGTGAAATAGGCTGCAATTTACACAGGCGAAGTCACTGACAGCTCGTATACTATATAAACAGTACCATTCTCGATGAATGTTTTAGATATGAAAAACGGAAATTATAAATAAAATAAGCTTAACATTTTATAACTAGCTAGTATAGATGAACAATATTTGTTGTCAAATTTAATTAAAACTTTGTTAAATGAAATTACTCAATCAATCGTTTATTGCAGTACAGATTTTGGGGAAAGGTTAGACAAAAAATAGACCTTTTTTAATCATAAAATTTCCAGAATTTTAACATGTTTGAAACATTTCTGAGAATTTTGATAAATTTTTTGAGAGCTCGTTACCGAAATACCTCTATTTTTCGAATTAAGTGTAATGAAATTTTACAGTCACATTGCCATCTTCGAAGAATCAAAAAACCGTTTTAGCGAAGAGGAGTTCGGCGCACTGCCCTGACGACCGGAATCCGGACCTAATACCACTAAGTAAAGGTAAATATAATTTTTCAGTCGTGTTTCCACTTCTCCGAGTATTTGAATAATTGACGGTAATTTGAGTGATTAAACGAAGAACACGATCAATGCCAATTGTACTTTTAAAGTATAGTTTATTTTTTATTTAATATAGGCTCTATGATGTAGTTATAGATCGATTTATTAAAAAATCGATTTAATAATTCTGACGATCCCTTGAAAGAAGTTTGTTCGGTGCTTTACTAACGGTAAATGTATCACGTTTTTGTCTGTCAAGGAACGTTAGAACTGACAAATATATGAAATGACATTCAACCTTCATACTCGACGAACAGCATTCTTCTGTGATACACTTGATGGATTTTTCGTGAGATTTGCATTGATCTTTGCTTATATTTTATGAATATGTAGATTTAATATGCTATTACTAACTCATTCATATCTTTTTTCATTAAATGTATTTATCATTATATTATCGTTAATGCTATTTCATCATCATCATCATCATCACCAGCCCTTTTACGTCCCCATTGCAGGGCTCAGGCCTTCCTTATGGATGATTAAGGAGGATGGGCCATGATCTTCTACGCTGGCCCAATGCGAATTGGAGGGTATTAACGACTGCAAGTGCAGCCGGGACCAACGGCTTAACGTGCCTTCCGAAGCACGGAGTAGCTCGAGATAATAATTTTTTGGTCACCCATCCCGTGACCGACCCTAGCGAAAGTTGCTTAACGACTACGATCGCGGGCCGCGGCGCTTATCGACTAGGCCATCGAGCTACTCAGTGCTATTTGATCTAATATAATAATTGATACAAAGGAGAATGGGCAATTTACTATGAGAGTTCGGCTATTTTTGGGTAACTGTGCACCTTGTTGAAACTAATGGTAAACGATAGAGAATTATTTCTAGAATGAGTAGGAAAAAAATCATTTTAAATTTATGCCGGAGTTGAAGCATATCTGAAAATTTAACATGGTTTTTGAGGTTATGTCGTTATAATATAAAAAGTATATACCTTTTGCGGGACGAAAGATTGCGGTTCTACCTGGAGCTGGTAGGTCTTTTTAAGCATTTTAATTAAAAATGGAAATGGTTTATAAGTTTATAGCAACTTTACATCATTCATGTTTTTAAATAAATATTATTTTTATTTTCTTATTATTTTCTTTATACAAGAGCATTAGAGATTTATGAATCGAAAACCATTTTGCTTTACAAGAAGTCGGTCAACAACCGAAGCCGGTTTCGAGTAATACAAGATATTTTTGATGCCTGAGAGGATTTACATGACGCGTTAGGTGTTTTTTTTTTTATCTATCTAAGGCATTTGATTATGTTTTTCATGAAAAAATGATTAGGAAACTTAATTATTATAGATTTAGAGAAAACTCATTGGTTTATGTCGTTTCATATTTAACTGACAGTGTGCAGAGGGTTGATATCAATGGCAAAAGATCCCCTGGATTGAAAGTTAAGATGGGTGTTCCGCAGGGCTCAATACTTAGTCCATTCTTGTTTTTAATTTACATAAATGACTTGCCTTATTTCGTAAGAGATAACTTCACTTTTGTTTAAAATCAATAGTGGGATACCACTAAATAACGATATGAACAATTCTATCGAAAATGGAAATCCAAACGTACATCTAAAACATGATAAAATTAGAGTCATAACCCAGATAGCATTTTCTCATTTCCCATCTAAAGTCGTAAAATATTAACGGGGCTAGCTACTGAAACTTTTTAGCTCGGGCTAAGAGGATTTGCGGGTCGAGTTAGTGGAGTTTATTCTAGGTCCTTCTATTTATTTCATCAGATCGAAGCTAGCTCAAGCGATGTCGGTTAATAATTAATTTAGTTGCTATAAAAAGATACGGCCTTTTTAATCAAGTTTCTTGGTAGCAGCTCTTTTACGCAATCGCTTATCTGGTGTTCGACTTACGGTTTATTTGATTAGGACTCAAGGCTACTCAGATAAACTTAACTAACATTCTGTTAAGGGAGTCTACAAAATTTTAAGAATCTGGGTCTTCTCAGGGATATTTTTTAAATAAAATAAAAATTGGATATTTTTCTGCTATACTTTTTGTACACATAGATCAGATTCTAAATAAAAAAAAGTCTAGTTGATCTAAAAATGAACCAAATCTTTTTTCATTTTTATTTTTAGCAATTGTTTTCTGAATCTTTCCATATCTATAACAAGAAGCAGCAGTACAGTATAGAGGACGGGGTGCGAATCAGAGGAATGCGAGTATCTGATAAAAAAATTACTTCACTTTGTACGGCCGGGTCCGCTGACCTGTTGAAGACCCAGCCATTTTTCACAGCGACACATTCTTTTCATGCTCTCATACACTGCTTTCGTTTTCAATTAAAATCATCTTTGCTTGATTTTGTGTCGGAAATCCCATCGCAAAATTTATAAATAATTCCTAATAATGATTGTAAGGTAGATACCTACTTTTGTATGGTGATTTAAAGTTGAATTCAAATGATAATACTTCGACATAATTGTCTATAGACGTATGCTTGTTGTTTATATTCGAATAAGTAAGGAATTGTAACTGAAAAAAGGGAGTAATAAGTTTTTATACAAGAAGTATTTAATAAAATAATCCCTATTGCGACAGTGTTAGCTTTTATCAAAGCTTATTACTAAACCTCCGACGATTTAACAGCAGTCCTCCTTGATTATTCCGAATTTCAGAACAGTAAGGCGTTTTACGACCCCGTATATTACTTCTAATTAATTTTAGTGGTGTTTGTCCTGCTGTGTCGGTATGCCGTTAACGCTTAATTCACAATGGACGATTGTAGTTGTATTCTGAGAATGGAGTTTAAATGGTTATCTTCAACGACAAATTGTCTGCAATAAATTTAATTATTACAATTATTTTGACCAGAGTTATTTATTGGCGATGTTGTCTATTCCATTCGTAATCGAATTTTGTAAATTTGCATTATTTATAAAATTAATACATTATTATTTTTTAAGGTTTAACTTACCTAAATTTATTCAAAGAAAATTTTCGTAATACAATGTTTCACAAATAAAAATGTTTGAGTTTAAAATCTAAGTTTATTTCTAATAATGCAGTGTTCACACGATATACACAATATATACTGTTTTTATAATTATCATTTCAAATACATAGTCTATTTATTTCTGTATACATATATATTTATATATATATACTTGGGATTGCAAACATTTCACCAACTGAACTCGTGAGAACACTGCGTTTACACTATCATAAGTACCTACCTATTTTACTCACACTGAGCGTGGGATCATTTATAAAAATATTGTTAAAGTACATTCGGTCAAGTCATTAAGTAACAGTACTAATTAAAAAAAACATCATTCATGACATTAATATCGCTATCCCAAGAGCCTCATCCATCTTAAGTTTGTAGATAACAGAATATTTATTAGCCTAATCCAGTAGTTAGTAACATAGCGGTCATTCCAACTAACCTTAATTTTTAACAACATCCAGGCTTAACGGACTGTACACCAAATCCACCTATGTACGCAGCGGTGCAAGTGCCAGAGCCAAATATATCAACAAGCGCGCACAGTTTGCCTCGCACTCAGTCGCCGAGCACGCCAGTATCGCCTCACGCTCAATACACTGATTCACAGGTTAGCATACTAACATTTTATTGCTTAATAACACCACCATTCACACATTACATTCAGAATCAAGCGTCGAATGAAAAACTCGAATAACACTTTGTCTACTCCCAAATGTCGAGTGTCTCGGGTCGAGTGTCAGATACCATATTGGCGTACTTAAGAAAATATTTGGGTGTAGACAAACCGTTCTCGAGTTTATCATGCTACACGTTATAACTGGTAATTATAAAAAGAGGAAACTGTTTTTTTTTACATAAACTACTCTGTTACGTCCAAATTGACCGTGATCCCTCAAATTTATTCAAATATATATGTTTACCAATAAAGTTTTTTATTAGTTCTAGCATATTATAACAAGAAAAAACAAAGTAACAGTGCTTGAGAAGTTAATATGAGCGACAAAAATTATCGCACCAGTGTGAACGAGTCTTAGTTCTAATTATGTCCATTTACTATGCCATATCGCCTTTTTATGACTTGGCTATATATTTAAAATCATTTTTCTTTTAAGTAAATTAATAAATTGGACCTTAATTTTTGTTCTTTCAGATCAAATATTCAATGCAATAGTATTATAATATGTGACACCAAAATATATTACAAGCCACTTGGACTCTGCGTAAACTTGTTTAATATCAACTTATGCAACGTATACTAAAAGTGACTTAAAGTAATAAAAACTCTATTTGTACAGATGTGATACTATTTACATAATTTTGTACAGTAGTAAAAGCTTTGCATTAGAACTTCACAGCAAATTCAGTTGTTAGTAGAAGTATTTAACATAATGCCACTATTCATAATAACAAACTTTAATAGCTCCCTGTAGAATGAATTGACAATATTTATTTTGCAACACTCTCTACGGTTATGCACCACATGCAAAATAGCCATTACTATTTTAACTTTTAAATACAAGCTGTTGTTTGCGACTTTAATTACGTAGATTTAGGCAATGTTATTAATGATTCATAGTAATGAATAGTGAACCTTCTAGCGGAATAAAGATAGAATAGTCCATGTACAAAACATTATACATATATAAATTAATTGACTGATATAGTATTGAGTCCTTGGGCATCGTATACAATATTTTTATAACTGATAACAGTAGTTCTCTTTTATGCGTTTAGTTCATAGACATACACTATAATCTTTTACTTAAATTTATCAAACCAACGAAATAGACGATAATTGTCATATTTGAATAAATATATTGAATTTACGGCTTAAATATTTCGTCAAGTAATATTACAGGGTTATAGGCTACCAGTTAATTTTGCGGTGTCATATCTTGAAAACGTGCTGCAATAAAGATGTTGCCGATATAATTTTTATTGGAAGTTATATTGAAAAAAAAAAAGATTGTTATAACACAGGAATAACATGTTTACAGTTTTAAAATATTGTTTCAGTCATTTCATTTGAAATAATAAAATAAAACACAACTTTTTAGTTTAACAAAAACAATTGAATCAAGACATATTCGAGTACGAATCAATATGTAATTTTAATTGCTAAAACATAAAAAAAACTAAAATTTAATACTCATTTAATTTTTAGGAATTTTTAAATTACTTCCTTTTTTAATATTGATATGAATTTTTTATCTCCAATATTTACTTACTGTAAACCAATAAACGAATTATTTAAACAAAAACATATTTATCATTAGATAAGATACAGTAAAATATTTAATTATATATTCTGAATGATGAAAATACAATTCAGTGTTCGTACCTAGAAAATAATTAGCTATTTCTAATTAAAGGTATTGTTTCAGAGTGATTCTGGCAGAAGTATTGTTAACGGAGCTGTTAGATCACACAGAGAGGTGGTTACAACGAGAACTCCGCTTTTAGCAGCTCACCAAGAGAGCTGTGTTTAACATTAAGATAATAGTCAGGTTAGTTTTAATTGGAGAAAAATCAATCTTTTGTAATATACTAATAAAGTCGTTTTTCCCTTCGACTTATAGAAAATATTTTGTCATGTCACCTAAATAAAAAATGATGCGTGCGAAAGATAATACATATATATAATGATAATTGATGATGAGTTTATATTTTTTATTTAATTTTACATAATCACTATTTGATTTACGAGGTTGGGTAAAAAAGTAAATTGAAAGTAAAAGATGAGAAAAGAAAGACTTCATAAAAAAACATTTATATTGAAATAGTCAAATGTCTGATGCGGTCTCCTTGTTAGGAATCGATCGATGAACGTGAAAAGTGAAAAAAAAAACATACCCATGACATTACGTCAACTGTATTTCCATTGATCTTCCGTCAGATTTGTACCGGCACTAAGGGCACACACTTGCTTTTTAATATGGTATAAACGTGTAACTAAAACATATGTGAAGGAGGTTTCAATCGCAATGGAAACTAATTCGAATAGGTAAAAAATTACCATTCACCTTTATTTACTCGTTCAAACACTTCTTTTTTTTATATATTTCAAGACTAAGAACCAGCCTCATGCATACGTTACATACGGTGATGCATTTTCAAACGAGTAACTCTAAAACAGAGCGCAAGAATTCTACCCGCATCGTATTCGTTTTACGTGACTGTTCGATACATGCAAGCCTTGGGTACGCTGAAGATACATCAGTATAAAGTAGTTTAAACGAGACAAAGATATTGATATCAAAACTGTCGTAATAGGTTAAAAAAATATTTTAAAATCATCAATTATCCAGTTAAAGATCAAACATGACTTACACTTCGACTGAATCGATAACAATTAGGTATACGTGTGTCTATCTTTGATCCAATCATAAGCTTTTTCATCAAACATTTAATTAAGTCACAGGAAACAAACTCGCTCTAATGGGTTTTTAGTTTTATGCGGGTTCATTTCATTGATCAATTAACCAATTACCAATCAATAAAAACGAGCATTAATTTCAATCAAAGTTAATAAGGCATCAGACTGTAGTCAATCAATTATACAATTTTTACAGTTTTTGAATTCCATATTTAAATGATAATGTGTTAGGTCATTGTAATTATTTTTCTTTTTTTTTCCTTATTAAATATAGTTTTTCAGTCAATTTAACAGCTTAACTTAAAATATTGAAGTACTGTCAATTCAAACTATATATATATAAAATACTCATTACTCTCTGTAAGAGAAATTATCTTTTTTTATGGTGATTTGATTTTTGCATATAAAGATATATCATCTTTGATTTGTACATAAGTACTGATAAATTCCGAAATTGTTGTCAACATTTATCTTAATGAATGTTTAGGTGAAAATGAGACAATGACTGATAAAGAAGTTGTAAATAAAATAAATATTAAGGAAACTATAAAATAACACTATGCCATAAGTTTTAGATAATATGAGCTCTTCAAATAAGAGAATGATGTAAAACAAAGGCTCTAAGCTAAACTAACCTTATAGATAAGAAAATAAGAAAGATAATATCTGTAATAAATGTTTAAGTTTATCATCTTTATTGTTAACGATTTAAGAGTTTTTTTAAACTTCGCACAATTGTAAATTGTTAACATATGTAACATGTACAGAAACTTCATTAAAAATATATTATCTATATAAGAATTGTATAATTGTAAAGAAATTGTTACTAATTTATTTGCTGTTATTTAAATATTTGATTTGACATTAGTATTGGTAAATAAATGGAGATGTTCAATAATTTAATATTTGTTTAATCGTTTTTTTAATTGTCGCAATAAGTAAGTAAGTAAGAATTTAAATTATTCAACGAGAGTATAAAAATTATAATATAAATTAACCGAACGCGACCGAAGATACTGCAATAGTTTCATTTGCAACCAAATTGTTGTTTATTAAATTATTGCAAATAGATAGTTGTCTTGAATATATCGACGTTTTCTATAGATTAATTAACACCAAAAAGTTTCAATTCGTGTTAGCGATGTTTATCCAGGTTTTTTTTTTATTATTAAAATCAGCTATATATAAAACCTACTTGTTTTATATTATTTGACATAATGGCGATGTTATTATAATCACAACATCGCTATCAACATTCGACGATACACTTAACACATAGTGATAAAATTTATTGTTGCTTGGCCAGTGGTACTTCTGGTGATGCGGTCTCGTTTGTACCAGAATTTCAACGAATCATTCCATATTCAGTTCACAAAAGTGTTTTGTACAATCGTACTCACCGGTTGTATTGTATAGACCCTAATACTAAATGCTCATATCTATCATAAATTATAATGCACGAAGTTAAATTATTGACCTTATTCTATTGAAGACGGGCGAAGAATCATTTTTATTACATGTGATTAAATAAAATATTGAAATTGACATTTTGTTTTATTGCTACCTGTATGAATATTAAGCAGGGGTTGACGACTAACTGCAGTAGATCCTCTACAGCCATGGATTTCATGGATAGGGGTGCGTCGACGCATTTGCCAGTGAAGATGTGTTACACGATAGTCCATAGGTATTCACCGTTCTTCCGAAATATAAATCAGGTGCGCGCCGTTAGGAATTTGAACACAGAGTTAAAAGTCCAAGGATTAAGGTTGGCGATTTGGAATGAAGAAAGCTAGTCGCTTCACCCATAGACAATAAAAATTTATCCACAGTTATTTTGTTTTTTTGTAATATGTTATTACCTAAATTATCGGTTTCGGTGCAGAAAACTACCTCTACGAAAAGGTTGACAACCAATGTGGGCGACTGACTCATATATGACATTATAAGCAACGAACGACGAGCATAGTAATGCTTCACTGTGAAAAACTACATCGAAATCTATGACGAGCGCAGACAGAGCTTCAATTAAAAAAACTGTGCACGATAGCACCTCATTATATCTTTGATTATGTTTTAAGTTTATAAAGAATGTCTTTTGTTTGTTACTTTACTCTTTGTACTAAAATTTGTAACTTAAAAGATAAAAATAAATCTTCCATTATCCCGTTTTAAATACCTGATTTCCACCATCCTCCTCAATAAAAACCATAATTAACTTTTCAAGAAGGCTTTATTTCTACGTCCTCTCTACGCTCTGAGTGTGTTGCATTCATCATTGAATTCAAATTCGTCTTATGACAAAACAGAACTGCAGTTAAATTTTTCTCTTTCTCTCTTTCTCTATCTGAGCGTAGTAGTACCTTCGTTGTTTCAGATTTCCAGAACACAAGAGTATCCAATCTATTATTGGCAGCATATAAAAACACGTTACATACATATGTATTGCATTTTTATTATTTTGTTATAAATAAGGGTTCGGGATAAAAATTAATGCCAATTAAAATCACAATCCGACTTTATTTTACGAAAACTATAAAAATAAACTGTTTACAAAACACACGCTTTCATTTCACTATTAGCGTCACTACGCTCACTTCACAATACTACTTGGTTGTCCAGATAGTTTACTTCACTGTTTATCGCTTTGAGTTTTGCTTGTTTTCGCTAACGTATTCAGATCGCTTGATCACTGCAAGGATGCCGAGACTGCTCGCGTATTTATAGCGGCCAAAGTTGACTTTACCAACATCTAGAATGTTGTATCTAGGTAGGTGAGAACCTAGAACATTCCAGGCGGGCTTTGCCCTACGGGTGTATTCGCGAAATTACCAAAAAGTTTTAGAACGACTACCCGTTCTTTCCCAGTCATCGTCCCTTCCTTGCCTTTTACGCATAGTTTTAACGGACTAGCTCGATTTAGATAACATGTAATGCCATCTAGTAACGGGCAAACAAAACATGGCACCGCTGCCCTCCGTAACAATATGTTACAATCATTGTTTGGTATGTAATACGTTCTATATTCATTAGATATGGGCATCTATGGTTTTAGTACAATTTTTAAACTGTTATAGTTTGATGAAATGACTTCAAAAATGATTAACAAAACTGAAATATAATTAAAAAAAACTATTGTTATTAAATTCAATTAAACTTCTCAAAATATTTCTTTGAAGTTATTCTTATATTTTTCTAATTTTTAATTTGGTGAAACCTAAGTAGTTAGTGTCTTTGAAACTACAGAACTGATTTTTATGAAACTTTTAATACTCCCAACGTTTTTCAACTTATATTTACATAATCAAATCAAATCCCATCTCGGAGTATTTTTTAACGGAGGACTGTTTTAAGCATTCTCCGTTAACATATTTGATATAATGATAATTCAAAAATATCTATGCTTTTCTCTGCACACCTATAAATAGAAGGATAACGTAATTTTTAAATAACTGAAATACTATGAAAGATTTCAAACGTTATGTTTGTTTTATAATATGATATTGCAATCATCAAATACTTGTAACTGTGTACTGCCATACGATTATAGTTGCTGATTTTACCGACTGAATTTTATTTCATTGGCCATTATTATTTAGAAGTTGAAATAATATAGAATTTCATATTATATAAAATTATAAAAGTTATCATTATACATCCCATGCCATATAAATTATGAGCAAAACTTTACTCCAAAAATAAGTTCTTTATTCGAAAAAAATCGATTTTGGAATGGCACAGAATAAAAAATGAACTCCTGCACTCCTAAAGGAAGCGTCAGATAGACAACGGAGGCGGAGGTTAGTTTTAATCTCAAGAAAAATCCATGTAATAAATAACAGTGCGCAAGAAGACTGGATATCTTGGGGCATTGTGCTAAGTGATGCAGGTCCAAGCGACACAAAGCGTTTGTCCCACGTCACTGGCGGGGGGAAACGACCATTTGTTACGCATTCAATGTTCGGCCTGCTATTTATCTCCGGCATTGACTGGGCGAGGCGTCGATCAATTCTATTTCTATCGATATATCAAATGCTGAAATAGTTTAATCTAAATACTGGACGTCTAAGGAAAAATAAGCGCCTCGATGCTGATTATCCTTGTTTTGAGTAGTAGAGTTATTTAAACCTCATTTGCACTTTAACACTTGATTCTCTAACGATTGAGTTCATATGCTTGTGAACGACAAAAACCACTTAACTCATTGCTATGTTTATCCCGTGATCACGCGATTGGTAAGTGGCGCGGTTTTAACGCTTCATACCAGTTTAATCGAGCTTTTAAAAATCAAATAATACGGTATACGGCAGATGCAGCATTACCGTACGCCGAAATACGAGATCAATGTACATACTAGTGGTAGTAGCAGCAGCAGTAGTGTAGACTACTGACTATTTAGGTATATTTATTTATGAAATATAAATAAAATTACTTTCATACTTTTTCTTCATTGAG